TGATCTTCAGCTGGAAGCTTGAACCCAAATATCTGTCTCTGGGTTTATATTATTCATGCTCCATGTTACATCCTCATGCTTGCCCAGCAAGCCCTTTTGTCCCAGCCCTGCATATTGTTTCAGTATGACATATGGGCAGCAACAGGGAAGGACTGCAAGCATGATGGAGAACTAAACTTCTCAGGGGCTCTGAGGTTAGCCTAATGAGTGTGTACACATAGGTCCATAAGTATGGAGATCTCTGAATGAATGCGGAGATGTCTAAAGATCTCTGGGTATAGTTCTACCCTATTCAGGGGCTGGAGCAAACCTAGTGCCAGATGCAGTGTAGAGTGTCTGAGTAGGTGCAAAGGGCTGTCACATCTGAGGGGCAGGTGTGGGGTGTGTAACACTTTCAAAATCCTAGACCAAGGGCCAACAAGATGGTCAGTGGGTGAAGATGCTTGCTGCCAAGCCTGAAGAGCTGAGTTCAATCTCTGGGACCTGTACAGTGGAAGGAGAGAACACATTCTTGCATGGTGTCCTCAGGCCTCCACACATGTCACCCTCCTACAGTAAGTAAATAACACACACACACACACACACACACACACACACACACACACACACACACACACACACACGTGCATGTGTGCATCTATATAGTCTCTTCAGCCAAGAGGATGAAATAAAGTGCTTGCTTTAGAAGCACAAGGACCCGAGTTCAAGTCCCAGAACCCATGTAGAAAATGGTCATGGTGGTGCTTGCTTAATTTAATGTCAGGCTGGAAAGATGGAAACAGGTGGATCTTCAAGGGTGGCAGCCAGCTTCGCTTAATCAGCAAACTCCAAGCTTGGAGATGAAAAGGAGAATGCACTGTCCTTAAGAGAAAAGGGAAATGGGCAGTGTGCTCATATGCTGGATCACACCACTGTGATAATATGCTGAATCACACAAATCCTCAACCAAGACAAATAACACAGAAGATGAGTTTTTAATTTTTTAGAGATAGTTTTTGTTTGTTTTGTTTTTCGAAGGTTTCTCTGTGTAGCTTTGGAGCCTATTCTGGCACTTGCTCTGTAGACTAGGCTGGCCTTGAACTCACAGAGATCTGCCTCCTGAGTGCTGGGATTAAAGATAGTTTTTAAAAATTGATTCTTTGGGAATTTGCAATCATGCATCCCAATCCCACTCATTTCCCAGTCCTCCCATATCCACCATCCACCCTTGTAACCTACCTTGCAAAAGAAAATTAAAAATTAAAATAAAAAAGAAAAGGAAATCTCTGTAACCCCATTGGCTCATAGAGGAACCCACTCAATAAGAGTCTAGCTCAGTCCAAGTGCACAGCTATTGGTATCCAAGGGGCTCACTCTCTCTTTTATTAAAATTGAGGCTAGCAAAATGACCCAGGAGTGAAGAGTGCTTGCTGCTTTTCTGAGGACCCAAGTTCAATTCCCAGCACCCCATCAAGTGGCTCACAACTATCTGCAAGTTCAGCTCCATGGGATCCAGCACCCTCTTTGTGCCTCTGTGGGCACTTGCACTCCATATGCATAAACACATACACACATACATAAACATATATACACATATGTACACACATACATAAGCATACATACACATGCATGCATACACATACATACACAAATACACACATACCCATATACATAAATGTTTTATAAATAAAAATAAATCTTTATAAGATTACTGTGTGTGTGTGTGTGTGTGTGTGTGTGTGTGTGTGTGTGTAAGCAGAGGATAGGGTTTTAGGGAGGCAGTTCTCTCCTTCCACCACCTGGGTTCTAGCCGTTAAACTCAGATCCTTAGGCTTGGCAGCAATTGTCTTCTCTGAGCCATCTTATTAGCCCAAGGTTGTTTTCTTGAAACCCAGGCTCTCTTGTACCTCCAATTCATAGATGGGGAAACTGAGGCTCACAGAGCTGGGGACCTGCCACAGGCACAGAGTGGAAATACTGCTGATACTCAGGGAACCCCAGTTCTCCATACCTTAGCACACCCCCTTGCTTCAGGATTCTGCATCAGTTTTCCTGGAGAGTAGGCTGGCTCACTCCTGCCTGCCTGACAAGCTGGTAGGGCTTTTTGAAATAGACAGCGTGTGCTTGGAGGCTGTGCAGGGTACAGGGAGCTGATGCCTTGGTGGTTAGCGGCTTTGTATTGTTAAAAGCTTTATGACTTTGGTTACTCATTTCTCTTGCTTTTTTTCTCTCAGTAACTTTTATGTCCTCTACTCATGGTCAGGAGAGGCTGCCCCCTCCATGGCCCCTGCGTGTGGGGTAAGAGTGATGTCAGGAACCGGGGTGGGGCGAGTGGTCAATGGGCTTGGCGGAACTGCTCTTCTGCTTTGGCGAAAACAATTCCCTATTTGGCAAAGGGCAGTGTTTGCCCTGGGACAGAGCTCTGCAGCCCTGTGCCAGGCCCTGTTTACCCTGGCACCAGCTACTGTGGTGGCCAAGTGCACCTAGGCTGTTGAACTTCCTGGATTTCTAATCACACAGCCTACACCATGGGGGAGCAAGTACAGTGCTAACAGGTGTCCTTCATAAGGTATCCGGTGGCTCTGCCAACTCCATCCTGGCTTCTGGGGGAAAGTAGAATGGAACTGGGCATTTGGGCTGATAGTAAGGTTGAGGGGTAGACCAGATGCCTTGTGTCCCCATTGCTGAATTCCTATCCACGAATCTTGTCTGGCCAGGCTGGCTACTTCACTTTAGCTGGAGCGTAGATGGCTCTGTGCAGCTCCGTGTGTGCTAGGATAGACAAAATCCCCTGTCCACCATCCCTCTGCTTGAAGTCCTCCTTGAGGGGCTTGGGAGACAGCTCGCTGAAGTGCTTGCTGGGAAAGTATGATGACCCAAGTTCTACCCCAGAATCCAAGTAGAAAAGCTTGGGTGCACCTGTAATGCCAGTGCTGGGGGTGGGAGAGGTGGGGACCCCAGTGGACCACTGAATCAGACAGTACAAGTGGGTTGACGAGTTTCAAGTTCAGTAAAAGACCCTGTCTCAAAAGCAAGATGGAGAGAGACTGAGAAAGGAAGACAATGAATACTGAAGCCTGGTCTCCACAGACAACATCCACAACACACACACACACACACACACACACACACACACACACACACACACACACACACACACTTCTGCTTGATTGAGAGGATAAATAAATGGCTATCTGAATTTTGAGAGGAACTGGGTGAGGGACACATTGTCACCCTCCCTCCACTTTCTTTGGGGCCACCTCAAAAATGTCTGTGCAGAATGAGCACCCACCCCACCCCAGCTTGACAGCTACTGCACAAGTTGTGTGAGTTAGTGAGGAGGGACCTCCTGCTCTCGGGGGCCAGGAAAGCCCTAGTCAAGATCTTCTATCCTGTTTTCTCAGGAAGTGGCCCAACCTTCTGTGGCCTGATGTGGTGAGTCTAAGAGCAGTGCCGTGCTTGGGTGACTTTATTAAGTGCTGGCCTAGGACGTACCTGCAGTGTGGCAGGTGCAAGTCCTCAGGTACTTATGTCACTCATGAAAATGAGTGACACAGAAAGGCACTTTCAACGGATGGCTGGCCTTCAACAGCCTTTGAGTCCTGACTTCCCCATCTGTGATGGCCTCCCGCATAGTACCTTTCCACCCCAATTGTGCAACACCCTTGCCCGCTGCTACTGTTTTTCCTCTTTTCAGCCCAGAGGCCAGTGCCCGAGGTCACACAGACAGGGATGGCAGAGCAAGGTTACCTGTGGTCACCAGAGCTCACAGGAAGTGCCTCCCATTGCGTGGGCTGTGCTAACCCCAGCCCTCCAGTGTGCCTGCTTCTGTGTGTACAGTGTGGAGAGTAAGTTTCAGGCCCCTCACTCAGGTTGCCTTGTCAGCACCTTCCCGAATTATGTTTCTGCTGTGATAAAAGCCCTGGCAAAAAGCAGTTTGGTGTGTGTGTGTGTGTGTGTGTGTGTGTGTGTGTGTATTGGGGATGGGACTGAAGAGATGGCTCAGTGGCTAGGAGAGCTTACTTCTCTTGCAAAGGATCTGTGTTCTGTTCCTCCACCCACATGACAGTTCCCAATTGCCTGTGATGACAGTACTGAGGAAACTAATGGTTTCTTTTAGTGTGTTCAGACTCCTGCATACACATGGCACACATAAACTCCCCCCCTCCACAGACACACACACACACACACACACACACACACATATACAGACACACACACACACACACACACACACACTACATCTTTTAGGAAGCCAGTAGTTATGGGAGAAAGAGTTATTTTAGCTCCCAATTCCAGGTTACAGTCCATTATAGTGGGGAAGTTAAGGTCAAGATCTTGATAGAGCTGGTCACATCATAGCCAGCGACAAGAGCAGAGAGAGACCTGTGAATGCATGCATGTGTTGTGTTCAGTCAGATTTCTTTACTCTTATATAATTCATGGCCCCAAACCAGGGACTGGTGCCACCCATTCTCAGTTTGGGTCTTCCCATATCCATTAAAGCCAATAGGACAAGTCCCCCATAGACATGGCTACAGGGCATCCCAATCCAGGCCTCATTGATATTGTCACCCTCTTCCCAGGTGATTCTCAGTTATGTCAGGTTGACAATAAAAGCCAGCCATCACAGACTCCCTCTGTACCCTAAGTTCCCCTCATGACTCTCTTTCCATTGGTGCCATTAGCATTTGGGAAGAATATTCTTCCCGGGGCCCATCCACCCCCTTATCAGCCTCAGACACACACAGAAGGGCAATCTCCGGGGACCTTTAGGTACAGGAAAGTAGCAACCGTGAATCAGGTCCCTTTCACATGAAGACATTCTGAGGGTTCTGTGAACATCCATATCTCTGTGCATGTATATTCATGTATGTGTCTGTGCCCATGTGTGTGTATGTGCAGGTGTACATGTACCTGTGAGGATGTGCATGTAGAGATCAGATGACACAGTCTTGTAAGTCTTGTATATTGTATCCTTCCTCAGATGCTGTCCACGTTTTTTTTTTTTTCTTCTTCTTACTTTTAATGATGGAAACAAAAATATACCTGAAAGCGAAGCTTCTGGAAAAACCATTTGTTATTCCCTGTCTTGTATCGTTCCTCAAACTTGACCTTGGCTTCCCACCTTGCCTTGCGCTTCAGGGCTGGGTCTCTGAAGACATCCTTGTTGACAACAGTTTTGTCCAAGGGGATGTCCACAGAGCACCTTGTGGGCATGAGGTGATTGTAGTTATAAACTTTCACAAAAGACTTGATTTTTGATCGCTTGGCGATTTTCTTCTTGCCCATGGCAGCTGTCACTTTTCGGGGATAGTGGTCAATTCCAGCCACCAGGGCATGGCTGTAAGGGCGGTCTGAAGTGCCATCCTCAATGTTCTTCATGATGATGGCTTTGCGTACGGAGTAGCATCCAGCCAGGACCAGCACCACTTTCCCGGGTTTCATGAACTTGCCCATTTCGACAGCAAGCAGTGGGTTCCCTGTCCATGTTTTTCTTTTCTTTTCTTTTCTTTTCTTTTCTTTTCTTTTCTTTTCTTTTCTTTTTTTTTTTTTTTTGAGACAGGGTCTCTCACTAGCCTGAAATCAATTAAATGGGCCAGGCAGGCTGGTCACTGAGCCCCAGGGATCCATCCTCCTGTCTGTTTCTGAGAACTAGTGTATCAAGCATGCACCATTACACTTTTTTTTAAAGCCTGGGTTCTGGGGATTGAATCCACAGGGCCTTATGTTTTCATGGCCAGTTCTTTACTGACACACTTGCATTTCCAGTCCCATTGGGTGTATTCTCTGAGTATGCCCCATCCACTTCTCTTAATGGCCTTGCAAGCAGCATCCTGATTTGATGTCTGTTTTACAAAGAGCAAATAAAGCCCAGGGACATTAAACAGTTTTCCCCAGGTTACACAGCTAACCCAGCACAGGCCAGCTTCAATCTAGGTCTGTGACCACTGTGACCAGTACTAACTTTCAGAGGCACAGTTCCTTCTTCTGGAAATGGGGTTAGGGAAAGGGATGGGCTTCCAGCTGGGCCGAAGAAAAGGTTTAGGAGAGAGCTGTTGATCTTGTGACTCAGGGGTGCACAGCCCCAGGCCACAATGGAGTCTGACCCTGGCCATACCTACCTCCCACCTGGCATGGCCAGAGGCCTGGAGGTACTCCAGCACTGTTAGTCATTCTGGTGCATGGTGAGCAGGCTGCCTGTCTCCTGCTGAAGGTAAGAACACAACAGCTCAAGAACTGCCCCTGGCCTCCGTAACTCACTTCCTTCCTAGGATCATCACAGGCGCCCTGACTCTGTAGGTCTGTGTCTGTAGGGGTACCTAGGTGAGGCTGAGCAGCACAGATCTTCCTGTGCCTTCTCAGATTCTCAGAGGTCTCTGACACTAAGTGACACGAGGCTGGACCTGAGGCACTCTGTGGAGAACTGTGTCTGTCATTACACCACACAGTGTCAGCAAATGCTGCCTGGAACACCCAGCCGTGCAGATATTTTATTATGCATTTGGGTTTCTGCTATTATAGAAACATAATGTTCCCTTGTGAAGAACAGACTTCTCATTCACGTTCCCCCAGTGTCTTCCCTTAGCGTGTTAGTACAAGATTAGTACTTTTTGGTTTGGTTTTTGAGACAGAGTCTATGTATCCCTGGCTGGCCTAGATGCTCCTCGAACTCACAGAGATCCTCCTGGCTCTTCCTCTCCGGTGCTGGGATTAAAGGAATGTGCCACCATGCCCTGCCCAATTATTTCCTTAAAACTTATTAATTTATTTTGTGTGTGGTGGGGAGCGAGGGACTTGATTTCCACTGCCTGTGTGTGTGTCTGATTTGTGTGTGTGTGTCTGTGTGTTTGTGTGTGTATTTGTTTGTTTGTGTCTGTGTATTTGTGTGTTTATGTCTGTGTGTCTGTGTGTTTGTGTATGTGTGAATCACTGGACAACTTTGGGGAGTTGGTTCCTTCTTTTACCATGTGTGTCCTGGTGATCAAACTTAGGCGATCAGTAAGTTCCTTTACCTGTTGGGTTATCTTGCTAGCCTCCAAAATGACTCTTCCTTTGAATTGCACTGTGTTAGAAAGTTTGATCTTAAATACTGCTGTTTAAGGGCTGGCGAGATGGCGCAGTGGTTAGGAACACCTGCTGCTTTTGTAAAAGTCAAGTTCAGTTTCTAGCACATCTGACACTCTCCTCTGGCCTGTTTGATTATCCACACTCCTGTGGCAGCACACACACACACTATAAAATAAACTCTTTTAAGGCTTAAAAATTGCTGTTTGAATTAAGTTGAGTTTCATAAAAAAAATTCTATGAGTTTTGTTTTTTGGTTTAGATTGGGACAGAATTTCTAACAATATAAGATGCTCTATGTCCTACAGAATCAAAAACTTATCCAAAATTTAATTACTTTAGGGGGAAGTGAGAAATTTTACTCAGCTATTTTATTTTAGTTTTGAGGCATAGTTTCATATATTCCAGGTTGACCTTGAACTCACTGTGTAGCCAAGGATGACCTTGGTCTTCCTGCCTCTACTGCCTAGGATCTGGGATTACAGGAGTGCATAACCACATTCAGTTCCATGTGTCACAGCCAGGGTTCCATGTGTCCCGAGTGAGTACTGTATTGTCTGAACAGCATCCCCAGCGCAAGATCCAGTTCTTCCTGTATAAATCCATAACCTATCTAGCACATTAGCATGCAAATTTGCTTTTATCTTTAATAAATGGCACTATGTGTATACCGAAAACTGTTTTTAAATCAGTTTCTGTGCCTGGAGGGTGTCTCAGCAGGTAAATGTGCTTGCTGCCAAGGTTAGGAACTTGAGTTTGATTCCCTGGGACCCCATGGCAAAAGGAAAGAACTGTCTCCTGAAAGTTGTGTCTGACCTCCACACTTTGGCCACATGCATGGGCACACATACACACATAAAATAAATACGTGAACATAAAATAAATAAATTTCTTTATGATTTATTGTGAGTAGGTGTTTGAGTTTTTGACCTGCTTTACATATCTATGTACCTATGGACCTGAAGTTACATAATTTCTAAGAGGCCAAGCAGGATCAGGAGTTGAAACAGTTTAAAGGGCTGTTCCAGCACCCCTGAAAACACACTAGAACTGTTCACACCTGTTAGGCTTTATGAAGGGCTTACTGCATGCCCGGTCTATGATAGACACAGTGAGAGCAGAAAGGCCCTCACACATGGCTCCGGTTTGCAAGACATCTGATTGCTGGAGGGAGGCCTCTGCTGTGCTTGGGTGGGGAAGAGCCCCTCTCACCTCGCCCATCCCCGGCCCCCCCTGAGCTGAGTAGGACTGGAGAGCACCCAGGGAACTGACTAGACGAAGATAGGTCATTATTGGAGCTTCATTTGCTAACATAGCTTCTCCCCGTATATCCTGGTACTCTGTTCTTGACCCTTAAGTGACACACTGGCCATTGCGGCTGCACACCTGCCCAGACCCTAAGGCTGTTCTCAGCTGTGCTCCACCCCCCACATCTGCATGGGCCTGGGTTTTCTTTGGCTCCATTCTGAATGGCAGGACCCAGAATTCACCTGGAGGCCTGGAGGGAAGGCTGTGGACAAGGACGAGGGTTGTAGACTGCAGTGACTCCAAGTCAGTCCAGCTTCAGGGTGAGAGCAAGGCTGAGGAGGAAGGTTCAGCACTGGGCACAAGAGTGAGAGCTGCAACTGATTCCAAACCAACAGTCTGAGGAGGGCTGGGATGGGAGCACAAGAGACAGTCATGTAAAGCCAGTGTCCAGACAAAGGCTTGCTTGAAGACCAGGTTTTGTGTGTGTGTGTGTGTGTGTGTGTGTGTGTGTGTGTGTGTGTGTGTGTGAGAGAGAGAGAGAGAGAGAGAGAGAGAGAGAGAGAGAGAGCTAAAAATCACAAAATGTTTAACTTGGAGAGCTCAGAATATGCTGCCAAGGGACCCTTCAACTGTGCACAGCCAGCTACTGGGCCCTAATGGCCCCACCCAGTTTGCTGCACTGCAAGATCTTGGGTGACTGTGTCAGGAACCTAGCAAATATTTGTACAGTGACAACCTGGGCAGGTTTTTGTCTCCCCCTAGGGCTAACCAGGGCACCGAGGCTCCAAGGATATTCTTGTCTTACTGCAGCAGCAGAGGCTCTGGCCCTGTGGCAGGGTGGCCAGCAACTCTCACAGGGTTGGCCTCCAGGTTGGTGGCACCCACTGCTCCTGCTTCACGAATGAGTGGGCAGCAAACAGTGTTGGATGTGGCTTTGGGCACACGCTGGTGGCCAGGGAGGAGGAGAAGCTGAGATGCTTAAAACTCAAGCAGAGGCTGGAGCAGAGCCAGGACTCCGTGGGATTGTAGCCTTGTTGGGTCATCTTAGCTGCTTCGAGTGAGCAGCTCCGTTCATCTGACAAATACAACCAAGCACCCACCAGATGCTGGTCTTGCCCCAGAAAACTGTTGTGCAGCTCAGAGAGCTCATGTGGTAGCTGGCATTGTCCCTCCGGGAGCCTGGTGGGGGCTTAGTGTGTGCTAGTGTGTGAAGCCCACTTCACACAGAGCCCTGGTCCCACTGTCTTAGCCCTTAGGAGGGGGTTGGAGGTAGGGTTTCCCTGAGGTCAGAGGAACTCCCCCTGTCTCTTTCCTTCTTAAACCTATCCTGGCTATAGAATGGGCAGCTGGGAACAAGGCCCATCAGAGGTGTTGCTGGATGGACCCAGAGCAAAGGGCTGGAGTCCACCTGGAACCTTCCAAGTCCACCTTTCTCCTTGAAGTGCAGCCAAGTTCATGGGCAAAGGGCCCTGTCAGAGAGGTCAAAAGTGCAAATGCCTTTGCTTTCCAGTCTGTGTTGTTTTTACTCTGCTCCAATGGACACTGGACTTCTTATTCTTCCTCCCCCCTTCCCCTCTCTCTCTGTTTTTCGAGACAGGGTTTCTCTGTATTGCTTTGGAGGTTGTCCTGGAACTCGCTCTGTAGACCAGGCTGGCCTCGAACTCACAGAGATCTGCCTGCCTCTGCCTCCCGAGTGCCGGGATTAAAGGCGTGAGCCACCAATGCCCGGCTCTCTTTCTTTTTTGAAACAGGGTCTCCTGTGGGCCAGTTTGGCCTCAAACTTAACTATGTAGCCCAAGATGACCTAGAACACCTGATCTTCCTGCCTATGTCTTCTGAGTGCTGAAATGATAGGCATGCACAGCTATACCTGCTAGGTTAGGGATGACACCTTGAGCACACTACACAAGAATTCCAACTGAGCAACTTTATCAGCCCTGGACACATTTCTACCATAAGACAACCTACATTTAACTACCCGTGCAGATGAACTCACTGCCTTCTAAGCAGCATGGGAAAACACCTTTTCTTTGTGTTCTGTCAGCTAGAGGGTGCCTTATCAGATTAACTGTCCAGGGGCTGAGCAAGCAACCTGGGAAGATGAGTGGAGGAAGCACTCGATATGGGCCATGGAAGTCAAAAGGGTCGGGGAGGGCGCTGA